GAATTAGCACCCTGGGCCTGGTTCCCTCTCCCTGAAGACATACCCTGAGCCTGGGTCACTGGTCCTGAACACACACTGGGCCTCAGTCACTGGCACAGAAGTAACACGCTCGGCTTGGGTCACTGGGGCTGAGGGCACACCCTGGGCCTGGGTCATTGGCGCTGTTGGTAACCCTGTGCCTGGATTTGTGGCCTGAAGGCACACCCTGGGCTTGGGTCAATGGCCGTGAAACACACACACTGGGCCTGGGTTACTGACCCTGAGTGTATAACCTGGGCATGGTTTAATAGCACTGAAGGCACACTGTCGTTCTTTGTCACTGACACTGAAGACAGACACGGGCTTGGGTCACTGGCACCGAAGACACACACTGGGCCTGGGTCATGGCCCTGGTGGCATACCCTGGACCTAGGTCATTGGCCCTAAAGGCCCACCCTGGACCTGGGTCACTGGCCCTAAAGACACACACTGGGCCTTTGTCACTGGCCCTGCTGACACACCTTTGGCATGGGTCACTGTCCCTGAAGACATTCTCAGGTCCTGGGTCACTGTCCCTAAATGCATACCCTTGGTCTGGGTCACTGGCCCTGAAGGCACCCGCTGGGCCTGGGTCACGGGCCCTGAAGGCACACGCTCAGCCTGGTTCACTGGCGCTGGAGGCACACCCTGGACCTGGGTCACTGGCCCTAAAGGCACACCCTTGGCCTGGGTCACTGGCCCTGAAGGGACACCTTGGGCCTGTTTCTCTGGTTTTGAAGGCACACACTGGCCCTGTTTCACTGGCCTTGAAGACACGCCTTGGGGTTGAGTGAATGGCCCTGAAGGGACACCCTGGACCTCTGTCTCTTGCCCTCAAGGCAATGCTAGGCCTAGGTTTCTGGCCTTGAACACACACCCTTGGCCTGGGTCACTGGCCCTGAAGACACACACTTGGCCCGGGTCACTCGCCCAGACAAACGTTTAAGAAATTCTAAGTAATCTGACTAGAAAACCAAACCCCAGAACTAAACTTGAAGGTCAGTGACTGCACTGAACAGACCTCCCTTGAGGATGTAGGATTTGTGTTTTCCACCAGAACGTTACCAAGGACTTAAGATAACAGACCTCCCTTGAGGATGTAGGATTTGTGTTTTCCACCAGAACGTTACCAAGGACTTAAGATGTGTGGCATCCTTCAGTGTGTTATTTTAGGAAGCTGTTACAAGTACCAGTTACAGTAGAGCACAACCAGCTTCAGGTCAAGGACTCCATCACATAATCAGAGAGTGCTGCTATTGTGGTGCTTGGAACACGTCTTCTTACCCCTCCTCCCTTCTCCTGCCCCCCCCCCCCATGCACTGGGTACGTGGATCTTCTTCAGGCCAGATTCTTTCATGTTGCCAAACTCCTGCAGAAAATGCATCAACCATGCCTTGCTGCGCTCATTATCCCCTGCGTCGGTTTTCAGGTAGTACTGAAAACCGCATGGCTTTGGCCTCCAGGAGTAACTGGCTCCATTCCACACTGTTGCCTAAGACAGTTCCTCCAAGAATGTTGGCCAGGTAGAGGATCTGATAGCCTAGTGTATAGATGGGGAAGGTGATGGTTCTCAGGTTGAGGTTACTATTCATTTTCCAGGTGAACAAGTGAGTGTCTCAGTGAATACCCAAACACACTGCTTGGCATTCACCTGAAAAGAAGCAGGACCCTGTACACCAACTCCCTTGTTTATAGGAAAGTTGGAGTCTCCCAGGCCTCCCTAAGCCTTAGAAGAGCAGACTCAATACAGTTGGTTAGGACTCGCCTGCAGGCATGACCGCCTACCTCAATGATTAACTGAGATTACTCCCCCATTGTCCTTTAGAACTTTCAGGGCTGAACATCTTTAGAGATGATTTTTGGGCGATGGATACTCGGTCTACCAGACTGCAGCCATTCTGGTTAAATGCTTTCTTGCTTGTTACCAAGGCTGTTTGCCCCCAGGATCATATCCCTGCCCCTCCCTCCACTAGAAACCAACTACTCTTGAGACATGAGGGAAGGGGGCATGGCACAGCCATTCAAAGAATGACAGCGATTTAACACCAAAATGGTGGAAGGTTCAACTCCCAGTTGGCCTTGCCGATTATGGTGGGAGGTTTGACTTCTAGTGGACCTTGAGCTTCATTATGTGCTCATTGTAACAGCGTGATAATAACATGCCTGCAGGAGCTTCTCTTGTATCCCAAGGCTAACAGAAAAAGGCCAAAGAATGGGCAGTGGCCCAATTCCTGGGAATCCCAGCCCCCTCCCCATGGTAGTTGGAACGGTCCCACCTGTAGGCACGTGAAGCTACAGAGCCCATAAAAACCGGCAACACCACACCTAGCGGGCCTTTTTCACTCCCTCCTCTTCAGAGAATGCCCGCACTCCGTCTATGGAGTGTGTACCTACTTTTACTTTAACCTGAGCACCCAGTTCCCACACCTCTTTCCTTGCCTTTCTCTTGCCTTACATCGTATGCAGTGTGTGTCTCTCTAAATAAATCTACCTTTACTCAGCGGTGGCTTGCGCTTGAATTCTTTCCTGCACAAAGCCAAGGATCCACACCTGGTGGGGCACGTCCCAGGGACTCAGCTGAGACCTGGGACATGGCCCTCCCCTAGCCCCACTTTCATTTTTCCTGCATCACCTTCAAAGAAACAAATAATCACATCCAGTGGTGTAAACAAAGACTGTAAATAACTTTACATCTGTTTGGGTCAGGTTTTGCCTCCAGTGGAACTAAGAAAGTCTTTGGAGTCTCAGAGTCTGTGGATTTGGGACCTGTATTAGAGACTCCGTTTGACAGATAAAGGGAATGCGGCACAGCAAGATTAGGTAACTTGTCCAAGGTCAGGTAACTAAGCGGTGGCGGGAGTAGCCAACGCTTCAGGAGCAGGTGGGTCCGGAGAAGACTACCTCCACCAGTTCCTCTACCAGAAACGCACCTCCCACCTCCCCACCCCGTGGGGCGGGGCAGCCTTGTGTATGACTCCTCCAATCCTATCCCCTCCCTGCTAAGAGCTTCTCTTGTATTCATTTTCTCTCTCTCTCTCATATGGTTTAAAACAGCAGAAGCCATTTGGAGTTGGCTCACCCCAGACACTTCTAACAGGCTCCGTCAGGGAGGGCCTCTGGGGAACTGGGTCTGAGGCAGGTGCTGATTTGCTAGCCCTCCCTGCCCTGCTCTGGGGGGTTAACCTTAGGGTGGTGCTAAGGGTTGGGCAGGGAAGGCGGCTGGAACGGGCGGTCTAAATGGAGAAATTGAACCCTTCAGGATACCAGGAGAGGGCACATCAGCCTTTTCCTGTGCGGTTTAGGATTTCTTTATCTTTTCCCCGTTTATGCCTAACCAGTGATCAGCTGGAGCGCGCAACAACGTGCTTCGTATCCCGCTGATTTGGGCAGTATCAGCCCCTTCATTCATAAACCAAGTTCTTCCCCCATGTGACGTCCTTCTTGTTTTTCAGCACAAACCTCTCAGACCCTCTCTCTCTTCATAGCTTCCTGGGACCCCGCCCTAAATTCTGTTTTCTTGTTTTGCAGAAAGGGCCTGTTGCCCAGAGAATCGGGGGCACTTGCTTGGCAAGACTTTGACCTCGCGGTCAGATGCCTTGTGCCGCCTGTGCCCACGTCCTTGCTTATCCCTTCTCGCGGTGCTTTCGATGCAAACTAGGGCGGCTCTCCCTCCCTTCTCATCTTGTTTCCTCCCTTTTCACTAGTCCTGCAGCATCTGCCCTTCTCCGGTACAGTAGATCAGTACTTCTGCTTTCCATATACAACCAGTTCAATCCAGTAATTCCACCTGTCCACAGCACCTGAAGCATCCGCATGTCAACGGTTGGTCTGTTCCCCAGGAACGAGAGGCCCAAAAGCATCCTGCAGGCTTTGTGTTTTTAATTAAAGGTCTATTTTAAGGGCAAAATCGGGTGCAAAGGCGCGCATGCTCAGGTTTCTAGCTGTAAGGTCTTTAACAGAGAGAGAGGGCTGGCTTCAAAGATGCCTTGAACAACTCCCCTCTTTCCATGGGGCGCAGCGACCCCTATAGCTTTGGACTCCTTGCGGACCCCGCAGCGGGAAAGACCGAGTCCTCACACTTCATTTAATTAATAATTTATTTTAATTAACGCCGTACGTCACGGTTGTCACACTGATCCCTTTGTGCAACCCGCATTAACCCACCTGCCGGCCTTGAAGCTGCCTGAGCAGCTGGCTTGGGAGGCTGTGGGCGGGGCAAGAGAGCTGAGGGGCGGGGCCTGAGGGGACGGGGCCTCGGAGGGCGGGGCGCGGGAAATTCCCCAGTGGAGGTGGGGAGGACAGTCAGCTGTGCAGCGCTGGGCGGGGTCGCGTGGCAGCGCGTAGGCCCAAGGCTCCCGAGCTGCAACCGCCGCCGCCCCCACCCCCCGCCGGTCCCCTGAAAGGCGTCTGCATCCGGATCCGGAGCCTTCTCCCAGCGGGCACGATGCCGAGGAAGCAGTGACCCCGAAGGAGGCCGAAGCCTGGGCGCCGGGTGAGCGGGGGCAGGGGGCGGGAAGGGGCTCGGCGAGGCGGGTGACTCCCTGTCCGCCCTGGAAGCTATTCCCGCAGCTCGCTTCCCTGCGACCCGGAGCCAGTAGAGGTGTGGGTGGCAAGTGGGGGTGGGAGAGTCTGGGGGATGGCGGCGCTGGGAGGGTTTCCAGGACCCGACGGATCCTGACCCGGTGCGAGAGGGCAGCGCGGGCGTCCATCGCAAAGCGCCCTTCCCCCTTTTTTACCCGCCTGGCTGGCGGCAGGTGACTTCCTCTTGTAGGTCAGGGTGCCAACCTCCCGCAGGTCGGGAATGATTATACATCCAGTTCCTCACCAAACGGGAAGTGGTTAAGGGCACACTTTTGAAAGGCGTAAAAACTACTCTAGCTTTATGAGACTGCCCGGGACACTAAAGAACTGGTTACTGCTCTGAGGTGGTGGGATTACCGAACAGCCGAAAGGAATGTTCATAAACCGTTGTGTCTAGGAGAGCATGTGTGTATGTATGTGTTTGTGTGTATATTTAGATACATACATAGAGAGTATGAATATTTGATGAGGCTGAGAACCTCGAAGGAATTGTTTGTGTTGTCGGTAATGTGTTAAGCTGGAGGCAGTAAACATCGTAAGAGAAAGTGAAACCTAGGTTCGTCCACCCGGAAAACTGTATGGAAATACATGCCACAGAACTGTTTAAGGAGGAGATGGAAAATGAGACTTAGAACATAAAAGGCCTTGGATGTGGTTAAGCAAGAAGAATCACTGCCCCTTTCTCTTTGTGTGAGGAAGAGAAGAGCTGGAGGCCCTGGCCAGCCCCCACCCCCCCATCCTGGGACATGCCCAGTCTGTAGTAGGCTGGAGAGGTTCAGTCGCCGCGGCCAGTCCAGGGACTGCCGTGTAATGGACTGGGCAAGAGGAGTTTCAGTGTAGCCGGGAGCAAGAGGACAGTGATTAGAGAGTCTTCCCAGGTGATGGGTCAGTTTTTCTATTTATGTATTGTGTACAACATTAGGAAAGTGGGGTTTGTTGGGTTTTTCCGAGTAACTGACCTCTAGCTGCATATTATACTATGGAATCCAACTAAACTTTCCAAAACAAAACAAAACAAAACAAAACAAAACTTTACTCCTGAAAGAAATTAGTCACTGTATTACCTTCCTGTGGAATCCACACCCTTAGGTAGAGGCACATCTCTGTGTATTGAAAATAAAATGTATTTCATTCAGAAAGAAAAAAAGATTATATTAAAAATTCTCATTGTTTTCACTTTGATATGTGTATGTGGATTGAGTAATGGAATATATGTTATGAAATGATATCCAGATGTCTTTGTAGAGATATTTTTAAAATAGTACTAATTTTCAAAATAAGTCTTAAAAGTTGAGTTCAAGAATCTGGAAGTGAGTCCCACAGAACTATAGGAAAACATATACTAGCATGTCAGGTTTGTCATCTACAAAGCAGAAAGTGTTTTACAAATGTAAGACTTTAAAATACCTTGTTACACTATATTTTCATTTCATTTCAACAGACATTTACTGAGCCCTGTTCTCGGTGTGCCAGTCTCTAGGAAGAAATAGAATAGAGACCCTCACTTAGGTTTGATGGGAGGATAGACTGGCCTGGGATGATTACGGTACTTTGCAGAACAGGACTAAGGAGGTGAAACACAAAGTGCCACTGAGTGCTCAGAGGAAAGAACAGGTCACTTTACACGGGACATCTATTTGAGCTGGACATTAAACTGCCCACTAGGTGTTTGCCAGGGAACAAGTGGGTCATAGCATCTCAGGGAGGGTCGAAAAGCAAAGGAAGGCAGGGAACTGTGAGCTATTTAATGTGCCTCAGGGCTGAGTGGCATGGTGACAGGAGATGGTACGAGTAGCTAAATGGGGGCCGGACTCTGAAAGGCCGTGTTTGTCTTGCTCGGGAGCTGGAACTCTGTCTGTATAGGAACGGCTTTAAGCAAGCGGATGCCCTGGTACTAGGAAAGAAACCATGTAGGTCGTGGGGTGCAATGGAAAGAGAGGAGTCAGACCATGGGGGAAACTATGAAAATTCTTCAGTATTTGTTGAACTCACATGTATGTCAGGTAATGTTCTAGGTGCTAGGGACCCAGCGCTGGACAATACAGGCAAAAATCCTGTACTCTGTGGAGAACAACACTGCTGTAGTCCAGACAAGACCAGAAGGGGCCCACCTGAACCGGTGGGGATTGAGAGGAGGGGGAAGTAATGGGACCCGTTAGACTTGGGGGAAAGAGGAAACAGGAAGAATCAAGCATAATTCCCAGGTGCCTGCCTTGGGTGATAAGAGTTAAGTCTGTTTCTATTTTCTGGATATTAGCAGTTGCAAAGTCCAACTACCATTTCTGGCTTTAAAAGGCAGGGTTTCTTTTGCCTCTTTAACAGGATATGCACTTTCACTTCTATTTCCAGGGTGATGATGAGCTTAGCTGATGCAATCTTGGGATCTTCCTCAGTGCCCTTGAAAACCCAAACTAGAATTTGCCAATAGCCAACTATTGTGTCTGATCAGGTCTTCACTGTTTAAAACTAATTATCCATGGGGGGTTGAACCTACGAATACTTAATCAGCAAATTTGGCGACTCAGCCACCCTAGGGTAAGGGCCTGGCTTTGTTCCATGTTACTCCTGTTGGTCCAATTTCCAGTGGGTGGAAGTCACTTTCAGGCAGATTTCTGTTTGATACAAAATGACTTTCTGGCAGTAAGAACTGTCCTGTGACAGAACGGGCAGTTGCCTGCTAAGGTCATATGCTCATTTTCTCTGTCACTGAGGTCATTCAAGCCTGGTCTATAAGACCATCTACCATGGAAATTAGACATTCTTGCACTGAATAAGAAGATGTGCTGGATCATTTTTAAGACCAACTCAGGAATGAGACTGAAGCTCATGACTATGAAGTCAAATCACTGCTATGATTACTTGACTTCTACAATTAAGAAGGATAATTGTAATCAGGAATTCAAATAGCAGATCCGAGGATAAAATCTAGATTTTGCTATTGCTAGTCCACCCTTTCGGATAGTTCCCATTCTTCCTCATTGGTGAAATCTTCACAAATCCTGTGCTAAATAAATTCACCCTTCTGTCGGTCAAAAATATCTTTGCTTAGAAATGATGTATTTCAGATCTAGATTGATTGGATTTTTATGAGAAATCCTGTTATTAGATAGAAACTCGGAGTAAGTGGCTTAGTTCCAGTTTCTGTAACCTTTGAAGATGTGTGCAAGGGTTTATAATGGATCTCTGTGTTTCTCAATTGAAAATGGCTCAAGGTAATGCTAAGAATTTAGAGAACTCAGCTTTTCTCTAACGGACATTCTACCAGTAGACACCTCATATATGCACTGAACTGTGATAGCTCCTGATGACACCCCCCTCAAATATTCTAAAATCATAAGATGCGCTCAGAGTCACCAAAAATCAATTAAATTGCTTTTTGTAAAAGTTTGGCTGTAAGTATTTATGTGCTTATGTTTGGCATTTATGCTTTTTATTTACTATGACATTTGAATTACCAAATAATTTTTCCTGAAAATGCTGCATAACAAAGAGTCCACTCTAACTGGAACAGGCATGGGTATCAGTGAAAGAGAGCAGCATGGCTATGAAGGCACTGAGGCAGATGTGGTGAACAGTCGAGGCTGGACTGTGATCTTCCTAGAATCTTAAGAATACTTTTCACAGAGCTTCTGAGCTGAAAGCAACCATAATGATCACCATTTGCTAGGCAAGTCAGTAAATCATCACCAGAGGTCAGGTGAGTTCTCAAGGTCACACATCTGGCTAGTGGCACCCAGTTTATTTTTCTACTATCTCCCTTAGGATAACCCTGCTTTTGTTTTTTTTCTCATGTCCTTATAAAATCTGGGCAACTGGAAAAAGTTGATAACTAGAACCAGTTTTAACTGTTATGGTTGTGCCTCAAGTCTGGGTGGAGATATAAGGGAAAGTCAAGGAGGAAAAATACCTGAAGGGACTATCTCTCTTCTCTCCCCTCCCCTTCACCTCTCCCCTCCCCCTTTCCTCACCCCTCCCCTCCCGTCTCTTCTCTCCCCCTCCTCTTCTTATGTCCCTTTCCTCTCTCTTGGAAAAGCCATTAAGGAGAAATGTGTGCCTATAATAAAATGAAACCAAACACATCTCTAGATATCTGCTTAGATAGTTAAAAAAAAAAAAACAAACCTGTTAAATGCTTCCATTTACTTTTGCAAAGCATAGTCTAATCATTGAATACTTGAGGAAATTTAATGTTGACAACTGAATGATACACATTACAAGGATTTTATCTTTGTGTTATTTAGTAAAAATCCTTTTTTATAAAATGTTAGCTCCAACATCATAACTGTGCAAAAATGAGTTTAACGGAAAGCCAGAAACTGATTTTATTCAAATTATTTTATCCAAATTATTTTATAGGGGAAAACAAAAGCAGTCTATTCTGGTTACCTAACGTGAAGAGATGACACACTTCACCCTGTACCTCTGCTGCTCTAGAGAAGTCACACAGGCCACAGTGCCAGGGGCGGGGGCGTTGGGCTGTCAGGAGGACAAGTACCTTCAGACCAAGAGCAGGTCGCCAGGCTGTGGGTTCCAGGAGGCCTCCAGAGAGCCCAGGGATTGCATGCTGTCGGAATGGGGAGTGCTCTGCACTCCCAGGGACTGGTGTATTGTAATATATGGGCACTAACATATGGTGGTTTCACCAGCTTCTGCCCTAACAGGCACAGGGACTTAAAAATCATAATGGATGCTTCCCTTGTGGTCTCTTAGAGAAACAGCCATTTGTCCTCTGCCCTCCTGGTGGTGGTGGCAGGTTCTACTGGTGTATGTGGGAACTTCTAGGGACAAGGTTCTTTGGACAAAGTGAAAATTCAAGTCAGTAGTAAATTCTTTGCAAGCAATTCATTGACTCTTATTGCTGAGAAGAAATAGGACAAAAAACATCCTTCTGGCGGCCTTGGTTATTTCTTTAAGATTTCTGATAGTGTGCGATGGCTGAATGGAGTGGAATGTGGAGTCTGGGCGAGTTACATGGGCCAGTCTCCCATGTTCATCTAGGGAGCACTCACAGGGTTGTGAGACTGTGATATACGACGAATCAGAGCACTGCGCTCTCCTCATCCTCCAGTGATGGATGCAGTGACTTTGCAGTTCCTCATGAAAAGGCATAATCATCATCTTCGTGAAAAAGTGAAAAAGAAAATGTGTGCCCACAGCATTAGATTTCAACGTTTGCCCAGGTGGTAGGCCAGAGAGCAGGACAGTTGGGGTACACCCGTGTATCTTATTTATGGACACATTGACTGCTCTACACAATAAAGTGGAATGCTTAAACTGCTCTCAGAATAGGCAGCCACTAAGCCAGACGTTCTGTCTTTTCAGTGTGCTTTGCAGAAGTGTCGTGTATGGAAGCCTAAGTATCCAGTGGTACGTTCACCGTATGACAGGGCTGGGTTTGGGAACCATCCTGAATGCTCCATTGAGCTTCTAAGTGACCTTGGATGACCTATAAAGCGTCTGTGAGCTCAGCTCTGTCGCTCAAATAGCTGTCTAGTTGAGTTTTAGTGAGGATTAGAAACTGACCCTCTGGTGCACTGAATCAGCTCACAGTAAGCATCCAAAATATGTCAATTCTACATTTCCTTTTAGCCAAAAATACAAGAAATAAAATGAGTTTTTTAAATAGTTAATTATTGAGATATGATCCACATCCTATACAATTCACTCAAAATGTGGAGATTTGAGCTCAAAGATTTTCTTGGGAAAATCGATTTAATTTGCCCATATCTACAAATATATCATAGAAACCCTCTTGAACTCCTCACATTAGGATTCCTGGTCATCATATTATACCCAGCTCTTCCTGCTCCATCTCCCACATCCTCACTTTATACCCCTTTCTGTGCCCTTATACACAGACATACAAACTGAAGCTAGGATGGACCTTTGTTGTTTAAAAGAAAGAATCAAGATTGTTTGAGATATGACTGGAGAGAAAGTCGGCACCTTCTAGGATACTTACCAGTGCCCGCATGTGGGTTTGTGGGACTTGTGGGGACCCCTCGCAGAGGGGGATGTTTCTACTTTGTGGCTTTTCCTAGAAACTGCTGCCATGTCCCACCAACCACTCAGCTGGCTGACCGAAAAGGGGGACAGCCCCAACGAGACCACAGGAAATGGACCTCCCAATCTGGCTCACCCAAACCTGGACACGTTCACCCCGCATGAGCTGCTGCAGCAGATGAGAGAGCTTCTAATTGAGAACCATCAGCTCAAAGGTAAGCGACACCTGTCCCAGGTGTCTCCGCTACCCCCGGGCCTTCGGAACGCCATCCCTTGGTCATAGGCTTGTAGGCGAGCTCCCTTCTCTGCACCTGGTTCCCTGCGGGGAGAAAGAGCACAGAATTGCTTTTAGTAATGCTAAAACTATTCCCACTGTTTACTTTTGGATACAGGTAGGAATTAAAGTAGTGTATGTATCTCAGGGAAATGACATAATAACATTTAGCCCATTTAAAAGGAAAAAGGAAAAAAGGCTGCTATTCTTACAGAGTCAGTCCTAAATATCACCTTAAGAGAAAGCATTCTAGTATCTCCAGCCATGGCTTTCAGCAGGACCAGTGTTGGAATCCAGGAGTGATGGACCTCAGTCTATCTAGCTGTTCATAGGCGTTTGGTTACAATAAATCAGCAAAATCCATTTTATTTTCTTGGACTTTTGAGGACTAGAAATGACATTAGACCTGCTAGTACTGTCTGGAAGCAGAAACCACTCATCTTGCTACACAGTCTTTCCAGCTGACCCTTGGGCCCAGGCCGAGCTTGGCGTTGTGAGATGCAGAGCTACATGGTGAGATGGTCTCCAGGGAGGTTCTGTTCATGACACCAAGTCCAGTCCCCTGGTGTGTGACACTCTCCCTCTGAACCCCATGCAGAAGCCATGAAGCTAAATAATCAAGCTATGAAAGGGCGATTCGAGGAGCTTTCAGCCTGGACAGAGAAGCAGAAGGAAAAACGCCTCTTTTTTGAGACCCAGAGCAAAGAAGCCAAAGAGCACCTAACAGCTCTGAGTCGTGAAAATGAAAAACTGAAGCAAGAACTTGGAAAGCTAAAAGAGAAAACAGAAAGGTCCTTTCAGGTGAGCAGACCGATCAGTTGTGATTTTATTCTGTTAATATGTGTAGTGGGATCTTACTTGTCTAGACGTCTAGATCAAAACCGTTCATAGTTCAGACTAGATGGATGTTATGCATTATCTTCAAAGAAGAGTTCTTGATGAGAAGATTGGTTGCAATTTTT